TCTCTGGTGAACACACATGTCCTATAGCAAAAAAAAAAAAAAACCGCTAAAAAAAAAAAAAAGAATATAGCTGCTAGGCCAGCAGACAGTGTGGAGGTTAAGGTGCTAGATCCCACATGACCAGCTGCACTAGAGTCCTGGGCCAGCAGCAGCTTAAGACTCATGCCAGGTACATGTACGTACATGCCCAAAATCCCAAGAAGAGACTTCAGGAGAAGGAATTGAGGTATGGTCATATTCCCAGTAGTGATAAATTACTAATTTTTCATTTAATGATTATTCATTTAAATTATTAATTTCTCACTCTGTCTCTCTCAAGTGAGTGCACGTACCCGGTAGTAAAACCTAAAAATAAACAAATATATAAAGCTTCTATAGACATTCATGTACAAGTCTTTTTGTGTGTGTATATACTCACCTCTCTTGGGTACATACCTAGGTATAAAATTGCTAGGTGCTGGGGGAGTCCTTTGTCAAATACATACACAATAACAACACACATTTACCCACACAGATATATACAAACATGAAGAGAAAATACTTTCACTCAGTGTGTGACTTGCCTTTTTGCTTTCTCAGCTATTTATTTTGTTCAGCAAGAGGTTTTAATTTTGATTGAATCTAATATATTTTTTCTTTATCCATGATAAAGCATGTACATGTGCAAGAAAGAGAGAGAGAGATGATCCCCTTACACAGGATCCGGTCATGTTGAAATCCCCTTCCTCCAGTCCTCTAACCTGTTGGATCCTGGGCACTAATATACTTACCCAGTGTGTTTCAGGCTGACTGGGCCAGGGATTCAAACCATGGTTGCCTTATGGAAACCAGCATTTCTTGAGTAGCACTTTATCACTATGCCATGGAATTTGCCTTAATCTATTTATAAATAGGGCACTCTGGTGACCTTCCCTTGCTAAGAAGTCTTCATCAAGCACAATTTTACAAATATAATCTACATTTTCTTGTAAAAACTTTATAGTTTTAAACCTCACATTTGAGTGTTTGATTCATCTTGAATTAGTTTTTACATATAGTATGAGGTGAAGATTAAGATATATTCATTTTTGTTATGTATTTATCTACTTGATTCAACATTTATGGAAAATTTTCTCATTGACTTGCTTTGGAACCTTGTCAAAAATCAATTGTGTATGTGTGAGTTTATTTCTAGACTCTGTATTCTTTTTCATTGATCCTTTTGCCAATCCTTTTTTTTTTTTTTTAGAGATTTTTACTATAGGGTGTGTGTATGCACCATAGAGACAGAGAGAGACAGAGATAAAAAGCGAGAAATGAAGGATGACCACACAGCAATCCCTTCTCCTCCATTCTCCTTTCAGGATTTTGGGCACACACAAAATTTTGGGTACATGCCCAGTGAGAGCTACAGACTGCCAGGACCAGGACTCAAATTGCAGTTGTCCATGTGGGAATCTAGTGACATAACCATAATGCCATCTACTGGTCCCAGTTTTTGCCAGTTCTTAAGTTAATATCATACAGTCTTAATTATAGCAGCATTATAATAATGTATATGAATTTATACTTCCACAAGCAATGAGCAAGAGTGCTATACACAATACACTGCATTTGTTACCAACTTTTATTTTTTTCAGACAGTGGTGTAATTATTCTTTCCCAGTTTGTTATCTGGTGCTTTTTAATCTAAGCACAAATTAAAGCACTGTTATTTTATGTGGTCAGGTTTATCCCTTTTTTTGCGATTTCTTAATTGTTGAGTCATTATTGGAAAGAATTATTCTTTTATAAATTATCTAAAGAATTTTAGCATGTTGTCTCAATTTTTTTACATTTTACTTTTACCTACTTATGATCTGACCTACTATAATGCATGAGGCAAACTTTCAACATTCTACCCCAAGAGAGATACAAAAGTATCTCCAAAGACACTTAGTGATTTACCTTTTCCCCAATTATTTAAACATAATTTTTATCATATACTAAATCCCAATCTGTTTGGGGGTCTATTTCTAGACTTCTTATTCTATTCTATTGGTCTTTCTGACTATCCATGCCTTAATACCACACTACTTTAGTATTGAAGATTTAAAATAGATTTAATATCCAGAAGGATTATTTTTTAGAATGTCCCTAGCTATTTCTATTGTTTATTTTTTTCTCATAAAACATCAGAATTCTTGGGCGTGGTGGCGCCCGCCCTATGGCAAAAAACATCAGAATTCTTGTCTGGTCAAAAGGGAAAACATCTATTTTTGAGAGGATCTTAATAAACTTACTAGGACCTAAGTTAAATTAACATAGAGACCATTGATGCTTGTATAATAATGAATATTCTATTTTTGTTCAAGAACATAATATAGCTTTCCATTTATTTAAGCTTTCTATCCTTCAGTATTAAATACTTCCACATTTTGTTCATGTAGCTCCTGTACTTCCTAACTAAATTTATTCCCGCATATTTTATATTTGTTGGTGCTAGTTTATTTTTTTTCATTTTTTTCTTTCTTTCATTTATTTATTTTTACATTTTTCCGCAAACATTTACTTTACATATCAAAAAAATTTAGCTCATACTCCATACTTCTTGACAGTTTACAAGCAACTTCCAAAATTTCAAAATACTGAATTTTAAAGATAATGTTCAAAATATTCCTTATAATTTTGTATAATTTTATGACTCTATAACAACAGAAGCAGTATGGTTTCAATTTTTTTTTTTTTTTTTAGAGTGCAGTCACTCGGTATGTATTAAGTGGGGACATACAATGCCTCTCCTTCATAGCATGGCTTGCTTCACTCAGCAGTAAGTCTTCCATATTCATCCACTTCCTTTCAAAAGCCAGGGTTTTGTTGTTTTTTATGGATGAATAGTATTCCATTGAGTATATGTGCCACAGTTTTTCTAACTATTCATCAGTTCATGGGCATTTAGGTTGTTTCCATGACTTAGCAATTGTGAAAAGTGCCGCAATCAAAACAACAATGAGATATCACCTAACCCCAGTCAGAATGTCTGAGATTAAAAAAATCAAAAAATGATAAGTGCTGGCGAGGGTGTGCTGAAAAGGGAACTCTCTTACACTGCTGGTGGGATTGTAAATTGGTCCAACCACTGTGGAGAACAATTTGGAGAGTCCTCAAAAATCTACAAATAGAACTATCATATGATCCAGCAATACCACTCCTTAGTATCTACCCAAAGGACAGAAGAATACTTCATCGAAAAAGTGCTTGTACATCGATGTTGGTGCTAGTTTAAATAGTAGACATTTTTCTGCTCCATTGTATAGTATGCAAAATGGGTTCCCAAAGATGTTCATGTCCTAATGTCAGAACCTGTGCATGTGTTTGGCTACACAGCAAAAAAGAAGTAATGCTGTGAATTACCTGACCTTAAAATCATAAGATTATCCTGAATTATCTGGGTGGATCTGACCTAATCACAAGGGTCTTTAAATGTCTAAGAGGAGGGCCAGACAGTCTGTGTCACAGTGCTGCAATGTGAGAAAGACTCAGACAGCCTTTAATGGCTTTGAAGATGGGAGGGAGCCACAGTCAAGGAGTGAGCAGCCTCCAAAAGCTGGAAAAGCGAGCCAGAAGATGGCATGGTGGTTAGGGTATTGTACTTCCACATGACTGACTGTTGTTCGAGTCCCAGACCTGGCAGCTTGCTTTCTCACTCTTTCTCTCTATCTCTCTCTGATGACTATAGCAAGTTACATAATAACAATAATAATAGGTAATACAATAAAATCAATAAAATAAATTTTTAAAATTAAAAAAATAAAAGCTAAAAAAAGCCAGAAAATTATTTTCCTATAGGGCATTCATAAAAGATCAGAAACAACTCCCTTTAGAAGATTCTGAGGACTATCTCTTTCAACAGATTGTATTTAAGCATCAAATATAAAGCAACACCATGACAAATGTTTAGTTAATGTATTGCCACAAGCAAACACTGAGCACTAAAAATGTTGTAAAATGTGGACTTTGGAAAAACAAAAGGTAACTAGCCTCTTCTCCAAGAAATTTCTTATTAGTGATCAAACTCTGCCCAGAAAGCTAAAATATAAATCTAACAATTAACATTTTAAAAGATCCTTAAGATTAGGCCAGCAGATGGCATAGCAGTTATATCACTGGACTTCCAGATGGCTGACCGCAGTTTGAGTCCTGAAACCAGTGGCTTGAAACTCATGTCAGGCATGTGTGTGTGTGTATGCCCAAAATCCCAGGAGGAAAATGGAAGACAAGGGACTATGGCATGGCCATTGCCCCCAGCGGTGATTATTCTCTCTCTCTTTGACACTCTCTCTCTCTCTCTCTCTCTCTCTCTCTCCTGTGAGTGAACACGTCCTAAGGAAAAACCTCTAAAAAAAGAAAGAAAGAAAGAAAGAAAGAAAGAAAGAAAGAAAGAAAGCCATAAGATTAACATTTTAATCCAAATTTGCAGTGTTCTCAAAATAAAAATGGAAAAGTTGAGCAGAAAAACATATGTTGCTGATTTCTAACCAATAATTATTAGATATTAATGGTTTCTCTTTTCTAGAGAAGAAAGGAAAAGAAGGATGGACTTATTGCTGGTCAAGCTTAATGCCAGGTGGAGAGGTCAACAAGGACTTAATGAACTTAATATACTCACACCTGCTTAATAATGGATGCTGTTAGAACTGTGACGACAGTTCCTTTTGAAGACATAATATGAAGCTCTAAATCCAATGACAAGTAGTAGTTGTGATGGGTAATAACTTAGTAACAGCTTAAATGCACATTTTTATGAGACAAGTAACTCCTCTCAGGCAAGTAAAAAGCAAACTAATGAGATGTTCCTACGGGATTTGATAGAAATATTAGAAAGGAAAACATCCCACCACCGTGACACCACCTAGAGGAAAAGCTATATAAGTACTTCAAAGAGGAAAAGCCAAGAGGCGTGGAATTTAGACTCAGTCAAGTTTGACCTTTCCATCCTGGTGGCCACAGACTCGGAAACAGACCACAACTGGGCACACACTATGGATACACAGAGTTGTACAACAGCTACTTCAACTCCATGCCAAAACTGCTCCAGGATTACAAATTTTAGGACCATCTCTTCTAACAACAGTTGCCACCAAAGTGATCTTGAAGCCAACAATTGCCAAAAAACTGGCCATGTTCTGAGAACTTCCCAGAACCAGAGCTGCCAACCAAGTCCTTGCTTTTGTCGCAGACCTACCTACCTAATACGCAACTTCAACATCTGCCCCTCTCTGGATGATTGCAGCTGGTATGGTGAAGGTATCAACAGTAACGAGAAAGAGACCATGCAGGTCTTGAATGACCGCCTTGCTAACTACCTAGAAAAGGTGCGAATGCTAGAACAAAAGAATGCTGAACTTGAGTGTAAAATCCAGGAAGAGTGTAACAAAGAGCTCCCCATTGTATGTCCTGATTACCAGTCCTACTACAATACCATTGAGGAGCTCCAGCAGAAGGTAAGAGTCTTGGAAACTTATTTAATCACATTGTAAATTAATAATCTTCAAGCAATTGTTATTTGCATGTTTTTAGTTCCCTTTGCGCTGAGATTTTCTTTTAAAAGAAAAAGAAAATTAAAGTGAGGGGGGGATCAGCAGATGACGTAATGGTTATATCACTGGACTCCCATGTAGTCGACCATGGTTCGAGTCCTGGATCCAGCAGCTTAAACTCACATCAGACATAATTATGTGCATGTATGCCCACAATCCCAAGAGGAGGGTGGAGGAGAAAGGATTGCAGCATGACCATCTCTCGCTTTCTGTCTCCCTGTCTCTCTGGCAAGTACATGTGCCTTTATAGCAAAAATCTCTCTTAAAAAAAAAGAAAGAGAGAGAGAGGGAGAGAGAGAGAAAATCCAAGTGAAATTCTTATCTTGGAGTAACATGCAGTTGTATACTTTTTCCTTTTTCCAGGGATACACTCTACCATTATAACTATCTTAGGTAACTCAGAACCTAAAGATGTTAACAACCAGTCACTATGATTTCTAGGGGAAAAACGGGAGAGAGAGGGTTTGAGAAAATGAATTTTCTTTATTTTTTTTTGTTTGTTTGTTTTTTAAAGTTTGTTTCATTTATTTCTTCCATAAGAGAGAAAAAGGGCTGGAAATCAAACGCAGGCCTCCCATCTGGGCCCAGCCTGCAGAGTGTAGTGTCTTACCAGTGCACTCATGTAAGGCTGGGCCTTATGATTTATTTTTATTTATGATCATCTCCCCACAATTTTGTTTTAATAAGTTCCTACAGCTTAGTTTTTATACATTTTCAATCATCACCATTGCTTTCTCCTTTTATGCCCATTTTATCCTCTCCAAATTGTTTAGTTTGTTTCTACACCAAACGTAAGCTTCTTATTTAGAATGCTATGTTGATGTTACACATCTGGATTTATTCCATTTTATTTATTTGTCAAGTATTTTCTAAGCACCAACAACGATGTGCCAGATATTATTCTAGGCTCTGGGAAAATATTGTTAAATCAGAAAAGCCCTTGCACTAATAGAGTTTACATTTTAGTGGACTGTGGTATGGTATGCAAATCCAGGATGGATTTTATTTCTTTATAGTTTTATTTGATTTCTTATCGGAAAATGATACTTGTATAAGTTATGGGTACAATGTGATGGTCAATACATATATACATGTGGAATGACCAAATCAGGCTAATTAACATATGTATCATCTCAGATATGTATCATTCTTTGTGTTGAGGCCATTTAAAAGTACTCTCTTACAGCTATTTTGAAATAGACAATACATTACTATGAACTATAGTCATCTTGCTGAATAATAGAACACCAGAACTTATTTCTCCAATCTAACTAACATACTGACCAATTACTCCCCTTTCCCCATCTACCCTCCCCTCCCGCCTCTGGAAACCACCATTCTATTCTCCACTTCTATGAGCTTGACTTTTTTTAGATTACACATATAGGTGAGATCATGCAGTATTTATCTCTCTATACCTGGTTTATTTCACTTAACAAAATTCTCTGTAGGTTCATAAGATGGATTTTATATTTTCATAGAAAAACATATACAAAATTTTTTATGTGAATAATTTTTTCTGACCTCTTAAGAAAATAACAAGGACTCTGACTTCTCAAATTTTCCCAAGGTTCATGAACACATAATGAAAAGTCTAGTTAGCCTTCCCCAATTCATTGACACACACAGTCCCTTGGTTCTTAAAAGAGACCCTGGTGTTTGTCTGATTTGTGTGTACAATTTCTTAATTCTAGATCTTGTGTACCAAGGCTGAGAATTCCAGACTGGTCTCACAAATTGACAACACCAAACTGGCTGCTGATGACTTGAGAGCCAAGTAAGCCCACCCAACAATATCACTGATGAGAAAATTCACCGAGTCCCACCTACACACTCCCAATAAGATTATCCCCAAGTCTACTAAACCTCCTGTTCCATACCATATTGGCACTAGCCCAGAAAAGACTTGCAGATCCAATAGACAATCAAGATTAATAACTGCTCACATGTATATAGTAGGTATTGTTTTTAACATATGGACACATTTGATTACCTGCACCATAGTTCAGTAAAATAGGTAGGGCTAATATATTGTTACCACAGTTAAGGTGGAAAATTGTACTTAATGAGGTTGAGTTACTTATACAAAGGCATATAACTAATAAAAGACAGAGCCAAAACTTGGACCTAAGTTTTCTGAGCCCTAATCCAGTACTCTTCACTTACACTGCATTGCCCCTAGGAGCAGAGGAAGGAAGATAAAATAAATTCCTTTATCTCAGAGAATAGCAATGTAGTATTGCTCTGGAAAATTTAGAAATAATCATTATATTATTATACCCTCAATATTTACCAAATAATTTAACCTCTAAAGAGAATAAAACCCTCAATATGAATATACTAAATAAGAATCCAAGAGAAAATGCAAAAGGGAGCTCTCCTTGACTTGATTCATACCACCTACTTTTAAAATGTCTTTCTTTTCACTTCTGGTTTTTGCAGGTACAAAGCTGAAGTGTCCCAACGCCAGCTGGTGGAGGCAGATGCCAATAGCCTACAGCGAATCCTGAATGCATTGACCCTAGGCAAGGCTGACCTGGAGGCACAAGTCCAGTCTCTGAAGGAAGAGCTCCTTTGCCTCAAAAACAACCATGAAGAGGTTAGAGAAAGACCAAGGGAGTTATCACAAACTAAACCTCTAAAATTAGCATAGATTCCTTTGAGTTGTATTTGACAAAGGGTATCTCCATTAGTTAATCACTCTGGTTTTTAGCTCTGATAATACTTACTGATACTACCACTGGTTCAGCATATTTCAAACCCATTGGTTACCACATAATAATCTGAAGTCATCTGGGATTGAAAAGCCTTCATTGTCTCCACTAACTTTTCAATAAGAAGGAAGAAACCAAATTTTTCCATTCTCACAGGTTTTCCACCTTCTTTTAGAAAAATATTTTTATTTCATTTTTTTAATTAATGATAGAACTCATACATGCATGCACATATACACATACACAGGAAACACAGAGAGACAGAGAGGCAGGCACCCTCTGTAGAACTTAATCACGCTACAAGTCCTTTCCTCCAGTCCTCCAGCCCACCAGTATGCTGAGCACTCATGCACATGACCAGCACGTTTTCAGGCCAACTGGACCAGAAACTCAAACCACAATTGGCATGTGGCTCCCAGCACAGTTCTGTACATTAGCAGCTATACTGCAAAAGCTGGGCTGAGATTTCCCATCTTTTCACAGGCATCTTCCCTGCACAAACTTCTGCTACCTCCTATTGGTACGAGACAATATTAGCATAAGCCTCTACTGGCTTTATAGATTCCATGGTGTCTCATTATCAGTTCCAATTCCATGCCACTTAACCCATTCCCTATCACTAGAAATTATCAAAATTCTTTGTAACTCTGATCTTGCTAATCAATTCCTTTTAATTTTGCATATATCTAAATGCATGTTTATATTTAAAATAGCCTTAAATTATTTCACAGCATCACAATAACCCTTATAAATCATGTATTCCTTTATTGTAGCTTATATGTCATACACAGCTAAGCTACATTATTGCTGTTAGACTGAGAAAAGAATACAAGCGGTTATCTATTCATCAAGTAACTTCACATTCTTTTTCTTGTCATAGGAAATTAATTCCTTACAGAGCCAACTTGGGGACAGACTCAACATTGAAGTGACTGCTGCTCCTTCTGTTGACCTAAACCGAGTTCTACAAGAAATGAGATGTCAATATGAATCTATCATGGAGACAAACCGTAAAGATGTGGAACAATGGTTCAATGCACAGGTGGGGAGGGCAGAGAAGTCAAAAATGATGAATTGACATTGCATTTCTAATCAAAGTCATGTCTTTCTTTGATAATATCCACGGTCCTTGACTGTATTGCAGATGGAAGAGCTAAATCAGCAAGTGGTAACCAGCTCTCAACAGCAGCAATGCTGCCAGAAGGAGATCATAGAACTGAGACGTACCGTGAACACTCTAGAAGTGGAACTGCAGGCCCAGCACCGAATGGTACCCAGCAAGCTGACCCAGTCTAGCACAGAAATGATGGCAATAACCTCTGACACCTGTGTGTTGCAGTGTTTCCCAAACTATGTCCCTCACAGCAACACTTTGTTAAAGGGTCTATGTCAAAAAGAACTTTGTGGCCAAATAAGTCTGAGAAGTGCTATATAAAGCAAAGATTAAGCAGGCTTTCTTGCAAGCCTTTACTAAGAAAATATACACCATAAGTCTCCAAAGGGGATATTTGGTACTTAGCATTTCCAAACTTACTTAATTGCCCTTCCCACCCTTTCAGAACATCTTATGGTAATGATAACCCATGGAGTACACTTTGGGAAACACTAGGAGAACATTTTATTAGATGCAAATCATTTTTATAAGCTTTTATATTAGATTAATAAAACAACCTCCTGAGGGAGGTGACATAATTATCAACAACTTTATAGATGCGGCACTGAGAAGTAAGGTAATTCTCACAAGCCAAATTCAAAATGAGTTCAACCTCACCTATATTATAGATGAAGACACTCAGATATCAGGGCATTAAATAATTTGTCCAAAGGCAAAAAAGAAATGAGTCTGAGCCAGAACTTAAATTCCCAAGTCAGTATTGCTTCTGCTTCATTATGTTGCTTGTCTAAGCAGGAAATTACTTAAATGCTCTGGTAGGAAGGGTATGGGAAAGACCTTGTCCAAAACTTGTTTTTTCACCAACTAGTCATGTGACCTCAGGCAACTAGCCCATTTAACCTCTTGAACCTCAGTTTTTTTAATCTATAAAATTGGGATAATTATGCAAATGATAGGTTATTAAAACCTAAAATCCCCCCTTTATCCACAGACTTTTATAGAATGATAGAGCAAAAAAGAACTTTATTCATCAATATTTCAATGCTCATATTTTGTATATACAGATATTGATCCAGCAAGGGAAGTATTTATAGGTAAACATTGCTTGTACTTTTTTAAGGTACAAACAATCATTGAATGAGGCACCACGATGATGCATTTTTAATGCCTGGGTATATGATAAATAGGATTTTTTTTTCCTCTCTTGTAAGTATGAGAGTGTGATGGGGGATTATCAGGTGGTCAAGAAAGAGAGAGAGAAGTAAACACTTAAAAGGGAAATAAAAATAAAATAGAGAGAGAGAGGAGATAAAGCTTCAGCGTAGTGGATCATTTTGTTTTCGGATTTATTTGGTTAAGAAGTAATAAAGGGCTTGGAGATGTCCGTACTGTCGCAAAGAAACATAGTTCAAAATTACACAGATCACAGGAGATCTGGGCTTAAAAGAGTCATCATTGCATGTCTTACTTTCCCCCCTCCATGGTAGAGAGATTCCCAAGAATGCATCCTGGTGGAGACAGAAGCTCGCTATACAACCCTGCTTGCCCAGATCCAGTGCCTGATCGATAACCTAGAGTTTCAGCTGGCAGAGATCCGGTGTGCCCTGGAAAGACAGAACCAAGAATATGAGATTCTGCTGGATGTCAAGTCCCGACTGGAGTGTGAGATTGCCACATACCGCAGCCTTCTGGAGAGCTCGGATGGCAAGTAAGTAAAATAAAAACAACTAGTAATGAGAAGGAGCTCAAACACACACATGCATGTACCACCACTGCCAATGCGGGGACAAACACTTCGATCTCCTTGCCAGTGATAGGGGGCTTTGGATGGGGGCTTCTATATATTCTCTCAAGCATTTGGGAGACCTTAGATTGTCCAGATTTGAGGTGTTAGCTGAGCTGAGTTGTTCTGACAGGTCAGTGCATTAAGTTGATTCCTTATAGTTTATTTACCTTCTTAGAGTTTTAAAAATTACTAGATAAAAAAAATAGTTTCCCCAAAGATGAACATTCCTAGTGACTGTTACATATTTTCCCCACTGGGATAAGATTGAATGGGCACCTCTGGTTCCTTGAGGGAACACTCTGCTCTCGCTAAAACTCCTAACACTGTCAAGTCACTAGTCTTTGATGTCAATAGCCATCATGTATACATGTGTATTTCAGAATGATTTTTAAAACTGGTAAGCTTTTTAAATGATAAGAAGCTAACCAACCCATAGGAATTTACCCAGATTACAAGCTCTTTGAAGAAATTCAGTCCCCACCTCTCCAAAATAATCATGAATTTTGTTTACAGCATTTTCTTAATTGGCATGTCCACATTCTGCTACCATGATGTAAACCAATGATAACCTCTTAAAGAGCCATGATATATCAAAATACTTCAAATCATCAAAGAAAGATGGTATTTTGTAAAAAGAATACTTCCTGTTCATTGCTTCTTACTCCAATTATCTAGAAACTATTCACTTACAGACAGCCAGAGGCCTTTGACCTGTTGAGGACTCTTTCATAGAAGGGGTGGAGGTCACTACTAGCAATGTGACTAACTCCTAAATAAGAAAAATATCTGATTAATTTCTATTCCTCAGAAAATAAGCTCCTCAACTTGTTCTTATCACTGTTGATCCTGTGCATTTCATTCCCATTATACCCAATCTGCTGATGAAAAACTGATGTTCATGAGGGTTAACTGACTTGCCGGAGGTCACCAGCTGGTAAATGTCAGAGCTCCACTCCAGTCTTTGACTACTGGTACATATTCTTTTTATGATGCTAGGAATTGGTTTTGGTGGAAGCTTACATTACCTAAGCTTACATCTAAATTTGGAATGCTGCTTCCCAATGGATCAGGTTTATTCTTTGTCTTCCATTAACTATAGTACAAAATGAATGAACAAATATTTGAAAGTTCAGAGTGGCAAGTGTTGAAAAACTAGCCACTGCCATTTTTCTCCATAGCATCATCTTCTTCCCTCTATCACAAGTAAAACTCTATTTCTTCCTTAGGCTTCCCTGTAACCCATGTGCCACCAAATGTGAGCCTTCCGCTTGCACATCCAGTAAGAGCAGAGCCATGGAATGCACGGCCCCAGTTTACACTTTCTCAGCCCCGCGTGATGTAGGGGAGCCCTGCAGTGCATATGGACCCCTCTCCCGGATACTGGTGAAGATATGCACTATCACCAAGGAGATTAAGGATGGGAAGGTCATCTCTTCTTATGAGCATGTGCAGCCTTGCTTCATCACTGTACCTGCCAAAGCCTAAGATGCCAAGGTGATGAACATGACCCACATTCATGAAAGAGAGGCCAATATGTTTCTGCCAGGAAGGTCTAGGAACTCTCCAATCCCTTAAGATACTTAGTTTCTTACTATTCCAGCAGTTCCTGCTGCCAACATAATAATAAATTATATTTCTCTGGAAGGACATTAATTTTGCTTTTATCTGAAGGACAGACTGGAAAGTGCCAGGAAGAGGGACTACATTGCACAGGTGACTGATGGGCAGGGCCCTCTCTTGTTTGTATTCCTCCTTAGAGCCAGTCAGACAAGTTCTAGCATTGTTTTTGGCCCCTGGCACATGAAGGTGAAAAGCTATGACCTTCCTTTCTAAACTCCTCTGGATATAGAAAGAAGCCTATATAGAAACAGTATGAATAGGGAACAAGGATCTTTAATACTTTTTTTTTGGAATAGTCACAACTCTGGATCCTGTTAAACTCTGCTGTCTTAATTATTGTTTATCTATACCAACATATTTTACCTTCCCAAAGTCTTTTTTTTTTTTGGAGAGGTTTTTGCTATAGGGTGCGTGCGCTCGCCAGAAAGAGAGATAGAAAGCGAGAAATAAACCCCAGGGGGGATGACCACGCTGCAATCCCTTCTCGTCCATTCTCCTCTCGGGATCTTGGACACGCACGCACACACGCCTGGCGTGAGTTTTAGGCCACTGGGTCCAGGACACAAACTGCGGTTGACTACATGGGAATCCAGCGACGGCCATTATGCTAATTGCTGGTCTCCCCAAAGGGATTTTTTTAAGATGTCTATAAACTCCAAAACTTCGTGAACCATTTGGCTCTCCAAACATTTTCTTTAAGCATCAGTTACAGGGGCCAGCAAGTGGCATGGGGGTTAAGGCACTGAACTCCTACATGGTCAACCGCAGTTTAAGTCCTGGACCTGGCAGCTTGAAAATCACACTAGGCATGTGTGTGTGTGCATGCCCAAAATCCCTTTTTGGGGGTGAGCTCACTCGCCCTACAGCCAAAACCAAAAAAGAAAGAATCATTTATAGCTGTGGAAAGTGAATCTGAGCATTTTGAAAAAAAAAAAAAAAGTAATAACACTGGTCATTTTATTAAATACTTGCTATTTATTTCTTTTCTTTAGGGAACAAGGGTTTGTTCTAATTATTTGACAAGGAACATGTAGTAGAATTCTCAAGACACAACCCACACCTCTCCCCTTCTCTCTCACAAAAAAAAAAATAAACGGAAAAAAAAAAAAAAAAAAAAAAAAGCCTAGCTCCCTCAATCTAGCCATCAGAGAGAAACGGACTTAATGTCCACAGACTTTGCAGAAAAGCAATAATGAATAATCTTTACTTGCAAGTATCAGGCAACTCCAATGTGAGAAGGAATTTTCATCACTTCTTACAAAAAAGTCACAGAGTATTTAAGTCTTCCCCTACAAAATTATTGGACTTTTCTAGCAGTTTTTGGAAATAATTTTAAATTAAATGAAACGTGGTACCAAAAAGCCTGCATTCTTAAACTTGCCACTTCCCAACTGTGACCCTAGGGAAACATTTAGCCTTCATCAATCAGATTTAACTTCTTTGTTTGTTACATAAGGACCATGCCTAATTTTCAGTGTTCTTGTGATGATCAAATGAAATTGTTTAAGTGATACTGCTCTGTACACAAAAAAATCTCTACACAAATGTTATTTTCATATAAGCTTTGCTTTTAGCTGTAGTCCTAAACCTAATTTTATCATTAAAATTATTTTCCATGAACTGAGATATCTATACATATTTCTTTAAGTTTTAATACTGTTTAGCTTGGAGCAGAAGGTACGGGGCATGGGCAGGTGGGGAGGGGGTGGGGAATAGGAACTCCTGTGACCAAGCTCACAATAAAGCATTTCTGAAATATTAGAGAATGTATCAGATATCAGGAGATGCCTAATGCCCACATCAAAGACCCACACATTGTTTAACTCATGGCTCAGCAACTTACTTCCTCCAGACAAGTAGCAACTTACCTGGAGTAGGTGGAACATAGAATTCCCAGGATGATTTCTTTTTTTATCAGTATTTTCTCTCTCATCTGAATGGGCAGTTAATCGCATACTCTCTCAGACTGTAGGATGGAAATGTGGGACGAGTATGGAACTAGGACTCAGATACCTTGAGATGGAATCCCAACCCAGCCTGTATATGACCTTGAGTAAAAGGATATAACAAGATAGTACCCACTTACCATGTGGTTAGAAGAGTTAAATGGGTTAATGGTGTTGAAATTCTTGAAAACTGTAAACTGTTATGCAGAAAGGAGTCTTTATACCCTAAATTGAAAACTAGGTACATGTATATCATTTCTGCCCACATCTTCCTTTCTTCCTTTTTGTCCAGTTCAGTTCTGGGCTTGGGTGAAGCCTGATACATACCATTAACACTAACTGAGAAACAAATCG